GTCCAATATTGTGTTCTCGTAAAATAGCGTGATTTTTTGTGATAAACCGTACTTAGATGTTTAAGGATTTTTTCTCTGATGTTAATTATGTTTACTGCTAATTATGGTCAAGATATTTTCAAAATCTATAGATCAGAAATAGATATTTTTACAAATATATAAACAATCCTCAATGCTTACATAAATATTTAGTGTATCGTGTGCGTGAAGGATCGTGCATGTATCAGATTTTATCGTGCGTTAATCGTGCGGAATCGTTGGTGTAACGTGATCGTTCGTGTAAGTTGTCAACAATAAAGTTGCAGCCACTGTACTTTCAAGCAAGATTTGTGATAAGTTTCATCTTTTTTGACCCTGTGCCTCTTGTGAAGAAGATTTTAAAATGACCCCACCCAATTTTTCCTTTTTCTTACTTTTCTCCCCTTGGAGGAGGGGTGTGGCCCTTTTATATAAATATATAATATATATATAAACTTAAATCCCCTTTACCCAAGGATACTCTGTGACAAGTTTGGTTGAAATTGGCCCAGCGGTTCTGGAGAAGAAGATGAAAATGTAACTAGAAATATGTCCATAGGACATGAATGCCCTGCCAAGGGTATATTAGTAATGCAACATGAAAATTTGTATTAGTGTATGAGATTTGATAAGAATATCTTGGATAGTTTCTTTAAAATTGATATCTAAAAAGTTGGATATAGATGATCAGTTCTCACCAAATTATGTTTATGTGCATAAGCTTACACAAATACATCTTAAATGGTTTCTTTAAAACTGAGCAAAATGCAAATTTAAGAAAAGTGAGGTCAAGGTCACAGGAAAGTTCAAGGTCAAAAATTTTTTATGCAGTTAAATAGTACTCATAAATACGTATCAGCATATTAAGTTTGATAAAAATATTTTCAATGGACTGAGCTAAACACTAATTTAAAATAAATGAAGTTAAGGTCATATATGACAAAACAAAGGTAAAAAATTGTTGATACAGTTGAAAAGCTTACATCAGAATGTATTATGTATGAAGTTTGATAAAAATATTATGAATGGTTTCTTTAAAACTGAGTTAGTTAACTTAACTGACTGAACTACGAAATCAGACAACACATCATTTATTTCCACAAAAATGGCTAAAATTAACTTGATAAAAGATAACATTACATTAAGTCTAATCCTCTGTTCTCATGAGTGGGTTTTTGTGAATCACAGTGATGTCATAAAACCACAAAATCAAGAATGATAAGCGAGTAAGAAATGTAACTAGTGAAATTATTTTCACCTTTATTTCCCAGTAAGGGAAAGGCCAAAAAATATAACTACTGGTAATTCAACATTCTTTTTTATAGCTTTAGGTCTAAAAGGTGATATCCTAGCATGTGCGGATCTAGAGGGGGGGTCGAGGGGTCCAGAACCACCTCCCCTTGGAATTTGCAGAGTTATAAAAAGTGTATACTGAAGCAAATAAAAAATGACTTTGGAACGTCCCCCCATCACCACCACAAAATAGGTGTTGATCACCTTTGGGCAATGAATTTTACGTTGTTGTTTTTTTTTTTATTTTTGCCTGTCAAGGAATTTTCTGGGTTTAAAACATTTGGGAAGGGAATTTAGTTGTTTTGTTTATTTTTTCTTTTTTGCTTGTCAAGAAATTTTTGGGTTAGAAATATTTTTTGGACTGGGATGGACCCCCCACCCCCACCCCCCAGAAAAACATAGGTAATCAGAGATTACAGAGCTCACCTCAACGAATGTTGTCTTTAAGTAAGGCAAAGTCCCACACTAAACCAATAATCTAGGAGTGTGCATCCCTAGATGCAACATTTATGCAATTTTGGTCTGAGAGGACTTGCAGTTACTTGGGAATAGACTTAACTGAAAACTTAAAACTAGTCACTCATCCAGAAAATGTAATCCAGCATCCGAAGCAAGTTTTGAGATTGTTCGTCCCCTGATGCACCATCCATGCAAGTTTGGTTCAGATAGGCCTTATAGTTACTTGGAAATGAGATCTGCTCTAAAAAACTTTAATCTGGTTCCCCATCCAGAAAATATAGGTCAGATCCAGCATCTGAAGCAAGTCCAGTAGTGTGCATCCTTAGATGTATCATCCATGCAAGTTTGGTCAATATAGGGTTTATACTTACTTGGAAATGAGATCTGCTCTAAAAAACTTTAACCTGGTCACTCATCCGGAAAATATAGGTCAGATCCAGCATCCGAAGCAAGTCCAGTAGTGTGCATCCTTAGATGTATCATCCATGCAAGTTTGGTCAATATAGGGTTTATACTTACTTGGAAATGAGATCTACTCCAAAAACCTTAACCTAGTCACTCATCCGGAAAATTAGGTCAGATCCAGCATCCAAAGCAAGTCCAGTAGTGTGCATCCTTAGATGTATCATCCATGCAAGTTTAGTCAATAAAGGGCTTATAGTTACTTAGAAATGAGATCTGCTCCAAAAACTTTAACCTGGGTACTCATCCAGAAAATGTAGGTCAGATCCAGCATCCGAAGCAAGTCCAGTGGTGTACATCCTTAGATGTATCATCCATGCAAGTTTGGTCAATATAGGGTTTATAGATACTTGGAAATGACATCTGCTCCAAAAACTTTAACCTGGTCACTCATCCGGAAAATATAGGTCAGATTCAGCATCCGAAGCATGTCCAGTAGTGTGCATCCTTAATTGTATCATCCACGCAAGTTTGCTCAATATAGGGCTTTTAGTTACTTGGAAATGAGATCTACTCCAAAAACCTTAACCTAGTCACTCATCCGGAAAATGTAGGTCAGATCCAGCAACTGAAGCAAGTCTAGTGGTGTGCATCCTTACATGTATCATCCATGCAAGTTTGGTCAATATATGGCCTATAGTTACTTGGAAATGAGACCTGCTCCAAAAACTTTAACCTGCTCCAAAAACATTAAACTGGTCATTCTTTAGCTGAAATTGCAGCATCTGAAACCTTGACTGGTACAATGAAACACACTAGAAGCATCCTCCATGCATCTCTGACTAATATAGGCCATAGAAGTACTTGAAAAGAAAACTGCTCCAAAAACCTTAACCTGGGACGCCGAAGCCGACACCGACGCCGAGGGTATTACATAAGCTCCCCCAACTTCATTGAGGTGAGCTAAAAATTCATGGATCTGCACCTGCCTAGTGTTAACTAGAAATATGTCCATAGGACATGAATGCCTCGCCGAGGGTATATTAGTAATGCAACATTTTAACACAAATTGAGAAAAGTGAGTTCAAGGTCAAAGGAAAGGTCAAGGTGAAAAAATATTGATGCAGTTGAAAAGCTTACATCAGTATGTATCAGCATATGAAGTTTGACAATAATTTAAGAAAAGTGAGGTCAAGGTCAAAGGAAAGGTCAAGGTCAAAAATTGTTGATGCAGTTGAAAAGGTTACATCAGTATGTATAAGCATATGAAGTTTGGTAAAAATATTATAAATAGTTTCTTTAAAACTGAGCTAAACACTAATTTAAGAAAAGTGAGGTCAAGGTCAAAGGAAAGGTCAAGATCGAAAAATATTGATGCAGTTGAATAGCTCTCATCAGTATGTATCAGCGTATGAAGTTTGTCACTTATTTAAGAAAAGTGAGGTCAAGGTCAAAGGAAAGGTCAAGGTCAAAAATATTGATGCAGTTGAATAGCTCTCATCAGTATGTATCAGCATATGAAGTTTGTGAAAAATATCTTGAAATGTTTCATTAAAACTGAGCTAAACACTAATTTAAGAAAAGTGAGGTCAAGGTCAAAAGAAAGGTCAAGGTCAAGAAAATGATGATGCAGTTGAATAGCTTACATCAGTATGTATCAACATATGAAGTTTGATTACACTGTCTTGAATGGTATCTTTAAAACTGTGCAAAACACTTATGTAAGAAAAGTGAGGTCAAGGTCAAAGGAAAGGTCAAGGTCATAAAATTTTGATGCAGTTGAATAGCTCATGTATCAAGATGTATCAACATATGAATTTTGATTACACTATCTTGAATGGTATCTTTAAAACTGAGCTAAACACTAATTTAAGAAAAGTGAGGTCAAGGTCAAAGGAAAGGTCAAGGTCAAAAAATGTTGATACAGTTGCATAGCCCTCATCAAAATCTATCAGCATATGAAGTTTGATAAAAATATCTTGGATAGTTTCTTTGAAACTGAGCTTTGAACAGAGCTAAACGCGAAGTGTGACGGAAGGACAGAAGGACGGACATGACAAACACTATATGCCCCGGCCATATTCATGGTGGGGCATAAAAACTGTTTCCTAACATGTCCTTTAATAATTCAGAATGTCATACATAATAATTTTTATGTCAATTTTGGCTACTATTGACCTAGTCATGATTAAAGAAGACGATATTGTGAATAGACGGAGAGACAGCTATACAACATATGATAAGAAAAGTTCAATTGAACTTTCAGCTCATTTGGGTTAAAATGTTATGTGTGGGCAAAAAAAAATAGCAATAGGTCATCAATGTCCAGGGCTGGAAACTATTATTTTTTTCACTGGTCACTCAGGCTATCACCTTAAATTTTTACAGGTCAACTCAGTATTTTCACCATCCTACTGGGGCAGTAGATTTTAAAAAGACTGGCCCAAAATAAAAATAGTAATATTTTGTTAACATTATGATACTTAATAGTACTTAATAGTACAGCTTAACAAAACAAGAAATGACAGAATTTGGACTCAAAACCCTGTCAAGTTAACTAGCCTGACCATGAACGAATTTGTAATGCATAAAAAAATACTGACCCAAAGGGCACACGCCCTCTACAATGTACTAGCCCTGATTAAAAATTCACTGGCCCCATACCAGCAGGCCATCAATTATTTTGAGCCCTGAGGTGACATAAGTTGTTAGAATTTTTTACTCTTTTGAAAGAAATACATGCTTTGTAAAAAATTGATAAATCTTACCAAAACTTTTTTAAGAAGAATATATAACTTCCCAATGAAAGTGGGTAGGCTTTTTCTCTTTCTTTGCCAACTTCGTTGGTAATGTATTCGCCATCATACTCAAGGACAAACTCTCCTTTTTTAAAATCCTTTACTGCAAAGACTCCTTTTC